ATTATATATAATTTGTGTGTGGGATTGATTATATCATTCAATAATGTAATCTGACTCATTATAGCGCTTCTGATTTTTACGTCATGTACGAAATAAGTATGTAAGCATTTAGTTAAAATAAAATTTTTTTTCCTCATTGTAATGTCTACTTATATGAATATTATTGAATAAAAGATTAGGTACACGACGATCATTTTCTTTAATAAAAAAAAATTGGAATCTAATTTACAGAGATGTTAGAATAATAAATAACAATGAGAAAATTATATAATAATTATATTATATATAATATTATATTCTATATATTATATATAATAATTATTATCACAATTGCTGCTCCTTAGATTTGCAACCGCGTTCATATTAATATATAACTGCTTAATTCTTTTTCTTATTATTTATTTCCGTTCTTATATGAACGAAATGTCGACCGAAAGATAAAAGCAATCTGGATAGTTGTCTAATTGTATATATAAAACATACTATCTTAAACTGAATCAATGAAAATTTTTATTGATTAAAATATAATACAGCGTATTTCTCATTTAAATAAGCATTGTCTTTTTATAACATTTTTTGCGAATTATTTATATAGAACAATAAATGTGTTTTTAAAATCTGCAAATAATTTTTTAGAAGATATAGTTAAAATGTTTTAAATATATTGTTTTCTAAATGCAAATCGAAATTATTAATAAATTAATGTACGTTAATTACAACAATATTTTATAGCTGAAAAACAAAAGAATATATGTATATCTAACATTTATACAGATGACATTGATTGCTTTAATTGTAATATATGAATAATATATAAAGTACACCTTTAATAAATCGAATTTAAAAAGAAAATGCTCAAAACTACACCGTACAAACGAGTGTATAAGTAACTGAAATATATGAAATACATTTGTGCGAGTACATTTGTGTGTAACTAAATTGAGACATAAATCTTGTACGCGATAAGAAAGTGATGACAGGCGGACATGAAAATCGGTATTATTTTGGCTTAGTTTTTATCTTCATATCGGGTTTTTATGTTCATATCGAGTTACAATAGATAAGACCGAGTCGAGGCTCGAGCTTGCCCTTTAAAAGCAATTAGAGAAAAGGATGCAACGAGAATGCGACAAGGATGCGAGAAGAAACGCGAATAAGACGTGAGATACGACGCGAGTGACAAAATCCGGGTTTTCTATTGGATTTAAGGATCGAGGAACTATGCTTATTGGCTATCGATTGAGTCCGCGTGGAGTATTTAGCTCAGCAGTCCGCGCGGATTATTTAGGTCAGGAAAAATTCGGGATGCTACATATATGGAACATCTAACGCGAATATTAATCATTACGCAAAGGCTAAACACAAATTAAATGCAAATACATTCAATTTTAATATTTTTATAAATCTATTTTCTAATAAAATTAAGTATCTAAATTAATTGATTGTAAAATTAATTATTATGCGCAATCAATTTTTTTGCCTTTCAAACAGATATTTAATATTGTAAATTATAATTATCAAGCATTATCTTGAATATAAACTTTTAATAAAAATTCAGTCTATTTAAAAATATCCAATTCTTATATATAAAGTATATAATAATTACATTATTGTGAAATATTTTATAAAATATTGAACTATCTTGAAATATCAATTAACACGAAAAATATTTTATTATATTATTTGGAATATTTTAAAATAAAAACTGAAATATTTTTTATATATGCTAGATGATAATTAAGAATAAATTCGAAAAGGTGAAATAGGAACAGGCAATATGTCTAAAAGTAACATGAATGATAAATAATTTATAAATGACTTACATTTTATATTTCGTTGCTCCATATGTGTTGTTCGATGTTTTTCTCCCTTTTCTCCTTTTTTCGTTCTTTGCTATTTCTTGGTAGCACTCACATTCACTTCCGAAAATAGGAATAATAATAATTAATTATACATCGAACGATCGCGAGACACTTTGCACGACACTCCCGATCGCGGAATAATTACATGAGAAATGCACATTAATATATTGTATAAGGGATAAAGAAGTACGATTCGCTCTAGAATAGCATAGCGAATTATATTTCAATACTAATCGCGATCGCGTTTAGGAAAAGAATTCAATAATACGAAGCGTTTTGTATCATTGCTTTGCCGTTGGAATGTCGTGTGAATAATACAAGATCGTCTATGTATTTATAATTTTTGCCTCTTTTGTTTCAATTTTTGGAATAACGAAGGATCGCGTTTCGATGGATGTATCATCGCCATATAGTTTCATGTTATTCATTAAGAGTTAATTAATTGTTAATTGTAATAGTCGTACCGAATTATATTTCGATATTAATCGCGATCGCAGTGTTAGAAAAAGAATTCAATAATACGAAGTGTTCCGTATCACTACTTTACTACTGGAATGTCGCCGTGCGAATGATACAAGGTCTTCGCCTATGTAAACAATACAGCGCTACGTCATCAAGGCCGAACGTCGTGTTATTGACCTCGCTTCCGAAATATTTTACTCGTACTATGACATACATATACGAAAATTGAATTTATATACAAGTATATTTTTAAAGTCACACACACATGTACACATAGATTAATTATTTATTAAACGATTAATATACATCACAAGGCTTTCCATTATGTTAATTATTCGATTTTTTCATTTGATCGCGTTCATTTCACTGCGCGTTCTCAGACGAATTATGTATATTTAAATCATCACATAATTATATGATAAAGCATCGGACGAAATATTCTTAATTATAAATATTAAAAGAAGAATAATTATTGTTCCTAAGGATTGCAACAAAATGATAATTTATAATTTTTATTCCGGTCACACACATTGGTTCTTAATTGCATTCGATTCTTTTTAATTGCTTAATTAAATGAACGCACCATGCAAAATGCGTGTTTCGAAATGATATTCTAATTATATTCCAATCGTATAATCTAGTATTTTGAATAATGGAAAGAGCAATGGTCAAATCAACTATTTATTAATAATAAAATTGTAACTTACGAATGTATTCCGTTTATTCCGTACGTTAACATCGCGGCAACAATGAATAAACTTTTAAAATAAATAATCAGTATATTGAAACAGTTTCGTCATCGATTTAATTACTGATATAAAAACCGATCAATTGACCAGTGAAACCGTTTCAATATACTGGTTATTTTCTTAAAAGAATTGTTACATGACGAATTGTTATATTATGTTTACGCGATTATTTATTAAACTATTCATCATGAAGTCTTTATGTTATGCTAATTATTTGCATTTATAATTCGATTGTTTTATTTCGTATTCCTTCATAATCTAAATTATATTTAGATTATAATTATATTTAGATTATCAGATTGTCGAACAATAAAACAACACGGATGAAATATATTTGACTTTAAGTATTAAAATAATAATTATTGTCCGTAAAGATCGCAATGATCGAAATGATTATTTAATATTTTGGATTCGTATCACTTAATCAATTAATTCTTGATTAAATTGTATATTGTTTAATTAAAAAGGATTGAGAATATTTAATTCATTGATCAAAATGTATTTTAACGCGGCGTTATCGATAATTTGTTGCTAAAATATTTTTATATTTTATATATTATAAAATATACATTAACGCGGAATATTAAATTATGGAAGTATTTTAATATATTGATTAATATATTGATTTAATATATTGATTAAAATTCATTATTTATTTAACAATTTATCATGAATCTTTTCGTTATGTTAATTATTTGCATCTATGATTCGATTGTTTTACTTCGTGTTCACTCACAATCCAAATTATATTTAGATTGTCAAGAACGATAAAGTGACTCGGATGAAATATATTTTTGACTCTAAGTGTTAAAATAATAATTATTGTCCGTGAAGATCGCAATCATCAAAGTAATTATTTAATATCTTGGATTCCTATCATTTAATCGATTCTCGATTAAATTGTATATTGTTTAATTACCAAGGAGAAAATTTAAAGCGTTCATCGAAATATATTTAATTCTAATATTGTTAAAAAAATAATGTAATAAGTATCGATGATCGGAAGAATATATTTAATTCTCTTATATATATATATATATAATTCTCTTATATATATATATATATATATATGTTATCGATAATTCGTTGCCGAAATATTTTATATATTATAAAATATACATTAGCATGGAATATTAAATTATGAAAATATTTTAATTTATTGATTAAAATTGATTATTTATTAAACTATTTATCACGGAGTTAATTATAATATTTGTATTTATTCGATTATTTTACCGCGCTTTTCCGAAGTCAAATTTTATAATATTTAGTTTTGCTTTTTAAAAGATTGACTTATAGCGAGCTAAATAAATAAGTAAATAAATGATATTGAAAAGAAAAAGAAGACACATAAATAAATAAATAAATAATAGTGTGAAAAGAGAGAACATACTAATATTTTTATATAATAAATTATTTATATTTTTATTTATATTATTTATATTATCAGAGAGACATATGTATATGTTATCCTCTGAGAACATTCGTGGACATTGGCTTTGTAGTTCATGTTCACGTTTTTAATGTCCACAGAGGAAGTATCGCTTCCAGGGATCACCTAAAAGCGAGCCATGACATCTCTCAGTCTTCTCTCTGCTATAGATTTTGCATAAAGCGTCATCTACAATGAGATGTTAAGGAGATTGACCAATCATAATCAAGTATGAAGAGAATACTCGACTGTGATTGGTCAATTTCTTAAGGCTTAGGACTAAATTGTCTATTGTAAATCGGGACTAAAGGCCATCACACACAAAATTGCACAGCTGCATATGCATAGCATAAGATTATGGACCAATGAGCATCGAATATTATGTTATGAAGTCAATATGGCGACTTAATACTCGATGCTTATTGGTCCATATAGTCTTATGCATATGCAGCTATGCAATTTCGTGTGTAATAGCTCTAATGCCCGAAACGGAAATACAGTCTGGTGGAAGTGATGGCGTGGCATCTTTGGCATGGTGGCATGGCGTGGCGTCTCTTCTTCTGTTGGACTCGGACTTGGACGCAAATACTGCGATGGTGAGATTGCGATGGCAATGGAATATTCTAAATGTAATACGTATCATATACTATAATACGAATCTTATACTATATTTCTGATAATGGTGAAATCTAATAGTGACAAGCTTGATCGAGGAAGGCATTATAGACAACACATGAAGATGGAAAGAGAATGAGAGGATTCTAAAATTGGTACGGAAATTTCCCTCCATTTTACTACATTTGCGGCTCGTTAGTACAGCAGTTTGATAACGTCGAACCGTTGGCCTGTATATCTCGCTCTTATCAGTAATCACCATATTATATAATAATGATAATCGTCAACCACGAGAACAGGCGATTGTTGAAGCCAAGTAAGTTTTTGCAGAATTGCCTCATTGAATTTTTATTGCATTATATCGTTTATAATATCTCTCATTTGCACATTTTGATCTTATTATTTTAGTAAACTGTTTTAATTTAATTCCGAATTTTTCTACTATCCATTTTTAATCTTTTTTTTCACTGTTCTAAAAAATTCTGCATTGTCCTCTACTATTGTTAAATATTTTAATTCGTTGAGAAAATATTTTAATTTCTTTTTTTTTATATGTTTTCTCTTTTTGTTTTAATCTCATTGCAAATAAATTAATAAAAATAATCTTATTAATTTAATTTCAATTTTTTAAATTATTGTTTATATTTTGTGTTACTCGTTGCAAGATATTTTCTTGGCAAATATGGTATCATTGAGATGTATCAATTAAAAAGATTCTCTTTATTAGTAAGCACCAATATATGCACTTGTAGTGCATACGTTGGTTATCATATATAAAAGGACTGAGTTGCAAATATATAATTAAAAAAGTGAGAACATAAAAGCTTATCACAAAATATAATTTATTTGTTTTAAGGGTATATCTGGATGAAAATAATCTTCGAAACTGCATGGATGAATTCTCTCTGTTCGATGGCTCCTGTTCTACTGCGTGATTTACTGCTTGCAATACTTTCTGCATATTTTGCATTTATCAAGTCCAAATTTTATTTTAACATCACACAAAAAACCTATGTAATTGTTTCAACTATGAAAGGTGAGTATCAACATGTGCTGTAATATGCTATCATTTACTGACTAAAACTAAAGTTCGATGTCTTTGAAACAGTTGCAGCACACTTATAATAAAATAAGCCTGTTGAAGAAGGCCAGTTTAGAAAATACTGAATTATCCATAAAGTTAATGTTAAAACACATTATTCTCTTTCTCTCTCTCTCTTACAAAGAGTAATATTGAATGTTGAAGACATAAACTAAGCAACACAGTTAAGCAGTTGGTGTTCCTGATTTAACGAGACTTTCTTTCATTGGTGAGTGCCAACGTGTGCGCCTGTAGATGTGTGCGTACACGTTGGCACTCATATGCGAAAGGAAGATCTGCTGGGACCGAAACAATTACAAATAATAGGATATTAAACAATGAAACAAGACACGGTATTTTTAAGATATGATGCTTTAATTATAAAATAGAAATTAAGAATGATGTTAATAAGAATGAATGTTCATGTAATTTTTGTAAATATTAAGTAATTCCACCAAAAACGATTTCAAATCTCTATGTAAAGTAATCCTACAGATAATAGATTGCAACAAGTTTTAGAAAAAAAAATTCCATCAAAGAGGTATCTTCGCTTATAAAGATTTCCGCAATTTTAGTTGATTCGTCGTTTAATGAAGAATTTTTGTAAAAATTCTGCAATACCGAATACATTAAGATATTGCATTATAAATATTTAAAGCTTGTGTTACCTTTTTTTAGCCACGCACACACACACACATATATATATATATATATATATATATATATATATATATATATATATATATATATATATATTATATATTATATATATATATATATATATAATAATAATAATAAAATAAAAATATTTTTCTAAAAGACAGCTTGATTTATCTATTTAAAATTTATTCACCCATAATATTTTTTCCCTTTTCAAATAATTCTATATACATATAAATATATATATATATATTAAAAATGATTTCAAAAATATTGATAGAATTATCATTGAAGTTTCATTAAGATATATGTTACAAGAATATTTAATTGTATATTTTCTAATTACCTATATATATTCGTATATGGTAATTAAATAATATATGATTGAATTTTTTCAATATTTCGCATAACTTAAATACCGATGAAATTTCCCGATTAGTCGTATCAATATTTCCGAAGCGACTGCTGCTATATACCATTTCCGCGATACCATCTCCAAGACTCGAAGATATCATTTATCATTTATGCACTATTGCATTATTATTTCTCTCTCCTTCGCGAGATGGCGGAGGCATTTCAATTTGGCGGATGCTGCACGGCAAGCTAGCGAACGTTCTCCTACCCGAGCCGCGCGTCATCCCCACCATCGGTTACGGCGCGTGCGCGACAGAGTGGGGAGAGTGTTTGGCGGCGCGGTTTGTTTAGTTGCACGCTGACAGCGGCCGCGGTTGAAGGTTATCGGCGTGCGTGTCCGCGTTTTACGAAAACGCCGCGTTACCGGCGTCGTCGGTCGCCAATCGTGACACATTGTCCGTCGTCGCGTTCTCGCGTTACATATTACGTTACGAACGGAGCTTTTTCCCTCCCCCGGGAAAGAGTGCGCACAGATATCTCCGTCTCCCCTGCTGTCCTTCCCCGGTCCCTTAATCGTTTGTGAGTCGCTATTTCGCTGTCTCCCGTTTTCGTCTGTTTTCCAAAAAGCATCTTGTCCTCCGTCTGTATCGTGTGTTGTGCGATTGTTGATCGTTGGCCTCAGCAGCGTCTCTTGTGCCATCGTCAGCGTCACCATCGTCGCCAACATCACGCTGCACTCGCGTTGCAACGCGACATGTTCACGATGGACGGGTGACGTCGCAGAGCGCAGAGGATGTCACGTCGCAAGCAGAGCAACCCCAAGCCGCTGAAACGTGAGTTTGTGCTTTCTTTTTCCCGGCTTTTCCCTGCGTCCGATGCTTGGTGTCCGGTGACACGTGCCTCCTCGGTCCGTGTGTGTGTGTGTGTGTCGTGTGTCGCGCGAGGGGGGCATCGCGTGCGCTTTGATCCCGCGTCTTTTTTTCCTGCGCCGCGATAGTTGGGAAAGTATTATATCGCCGCCATATTTGTTATTGTATATTTGAATTTAGCCGTTACACGGGATTTCGTGTCGAGTTAGCGCTAGCCGGTTGTTTCACTGACAAGTTTTGCTAAAGTTTAGTCGTAAACTGTTTTGGACTTTACCTGCTCCAAAATTTTATCCCCGGGAACAAACGAAAAATTGTGGTTAAGAAAACTGATATAAGTTAAAGAGTAACGTGCGAAGTCAAGTACTTTCATAACTGCAGCAGTTTTCAAAGGTATGTATGTTAGAGGGAAATTTGAAATTATTGGAAATTGGTATGATTATTCAAAGAAGAGTAGGTTTAAATAATGAATGAATAATTATTTAATACAGTTATTTTCATGTAATATCGAAAATGAGTGAGATAGAATCTTATTATATCTTGCTTACAATTAATTTCAAATAAATTTGAACGATAAAATGTTTTAGTTAAAAGATTATAATCATACTAAAATTTTATAGCAGTTTGCAAATTAATTTGACGCTGTCAATTATTTATTCGACAGTATAAAAAAAATTGCCTCTAAAGTTTGATAGAAAATGTACGATGTATGCAATTTTCGAACTATTATTATGATGAATATAGCGCGAGAAACGCGCTTGAAACTTTGTCATCAATGTAAAAAAAATATCTCTTTTTCTGTCGATATAAGCGATAATTTCAAAAATAAATCAATGACCCCGAGTAAATTAATTCGCGGCGCCGGTGAAGGAGAACGAGTTCTCGACAAAACGCTGTCTCCTTTTATCTTTCGAAGTATCAAACAGATAAAAAGTTAGATAGAAAATTAAATTAGGACATAATTGTTTGAACAATAGACTGCAAGTTTTGTCAGAAGCTCGAACTGATTTGTTATTTGTCTTTTAATTTTCTCAATTAATTTTTATTTTAAATTTCGGAGCTCATAAATTTTCTTGCTATTTTATTATAATAAAGAATACAATTTATTCACTTTAAACTTATAGAATTTATTATACAGTTATATTAATAAAAGAGAAAATGAGATATTTATACTCTTAAAATATACATATGTTAACATAATTAACATATAAATTATATATAAACAATTGGTATAATATTAATGATCAAATTTATTATATTTAGAGGTCATTTTTTTTAGAAAATGTTAGCTTTTAGAGGCTTTCAGTAAATTTTTATCGATTACTTCTTTCATTAAAAAATTATTAATTCACTTTTTTAATAAATATTTATTATGTTAAGACTATATTTCATAAGTGAATAATCCATATATACATGAGAATGTGGAATAAAAATTATGATAATGTAAAAAATAAGCGCACAGGTTATTTATACATACATATGAGAAATACACAATCGATTAACGTATTCAGCTGCATTTATATACATTTTGATACCAAAAACAGCGCGAATCTTTTTTGTCCTTAGCGATAACGTGACGCGTTTATGATTGTCATTGCCTGTCAGCTGACTTTTCGATTCTAATATGAGAACGTACACACACACACGCACACACTCAACGATCGGCAAACATGGTTGTCACGATTTATATGGATTTCGCGCGATTGTAATTGCGATCTTACGATCGGCACTTTGATAATTTTATTTCGTTGGCTCTTGCGATTTTTAAGTCATTCTGTGCAAATTACAAGAATATCTTTTAAGATTTTATGTGCTTTTATTTTATATTTAACATTATTTTATTATTAATAACATGATAAATTTTTTTCTGTGTAATGACGTTTTCGACGACGTTCAAGTTTTATAGAGCCTCTTGCAAATCGTGATTCAATGATTCGCGCAAAAATGATTCGTATCAGAACGTATATAGATTCATTTGTAATCGATATATCTTCGTAATTGAGTTGCGCAGTTTGTTTTCAAGTATTTCTTAAAGAAAGCTTAGCTCGAGATATTATTTCTTATCAGTTTTCCGTGAATTTTCGTTCTCAATTTTTTTTCTCGTTCCGCGAAGAGCGCAAGACAAGATCCAGTATCTGGATCTTCTCCCCCCCTTTCTGTCGCGGCGACCATGCGATCTCGCGATCACGTGGCTCGATCACGAAAGTTGGAACACTTTCACGTGGCGACTCGTCGGACCAGGTCGTCCTTTTTTTTCTCCTTCTATCCGCTTTTCCTTTTTCTTCTCTCTCTTTTTCTCTGTGTTTTTCTCTTTCTATCTGTCTCTAGTTCCTTGTTTCGTGACGTTTGCATTTCGCAAAGCTATCGATTTCGTTTCGAAGAAATCGGTCGCATTCGGTTACTGTCGAGAGAAAAAAAAATTTTTTTTCACACGCGTAATTATTTGTCTGCTCTAAAATTGTTTTTAGAAACGTATTCTACCTCGGAGACTTGAATTGATTTCATGATTGAAAGAATCAGCTACTTGTAATATCAGATATGAGAATTTGTTTATTCAATTTTTTATTTATACTTGGAAATAATTAAAATAATTTTTAGATATAGAATAAAATTTATAACATTACAATCTTATAAGAGAAAAAATTAGTTTCATTATTAATTTATATAAATATATTAATTTATATAAAAATATCATTTATCAATATTAAAAAAGAATCAATCATGTCATCATTCATATGTATAAAACCAGTTACAGATAAATTTATATTATTTAATATATTAAATATTATGCCGTATTAATGGGAATGAGAAAGCTAGCGCGGATTTTTGCTAAAGGTTCCCTAGATTGGGGCAGGAAAATCGTACGTCTGCACGACGTGCATTGTAAGGCCCTCCCGTGGGACATCGACGTTAATGGCCGCGTAATTATTGTGATGCCGGCTCGTGCGCGTGACTGCTAATTGGGAGCGACCGTAATTGAGTTAATAACGCTGTGTTAAAATAGTAGGCCCGCCCCCCTTTCCACCCACCGGCGCGTCTTCTTCCCTTTCGCGTCCTCGTCGTCGCGTTAATCTTTGCTTCCCGTGTATATTTACGCGGCTTTTATATATTTGCGATTAAAATAAAATCCGAAAAATTATCGAGCGATCGTCCCATTAAATCGAATCTAATCTAAATCGCCGTATAATATCGTTGATTTTCTTTATTTCTTGCTTGCATTAGCATATTAGTTCCAAATGATATCATGATATCATCACGTGATATTTTTTTTAATTCTTTTTTCTTTCCTTCAAAAATGGAAAGAATTAATGTGCAGCGCTTTGGGAATTTTATTTCCATTTTTTTATGTCCATTTTTTAAGTGTCTACTTAAGTGCGAAGAAATAATATTGGCTTATTTATATCGAGCTAAAAACAATATTATTTCAAATTTTTTCGATTTTTACAATTAATATTTTTTCATACCAATATTTTATCAAATTTTCTAATTATTTTCTATGCAAATTTCTTTTTTTAATAAAAATTTAAATAAAATATTACTAGTTTATTAGTAATTTTAAAATTTTAAAAATTTAATTTTTAAATTTAAGAAAATTTTATAACAAAATTAATAATTTAATTAAGTTAATTGAATTATTAATTTTGTTATATTTAATTTTTTAATTTACTTCACATTAAGGAACTGCACATTAATTCTTCGTTATTAAACTTTCTCTTGAATCCATATTAACATTAAAAAATAAGAACAAGATAACAAAGATATAAAAGAGAGCCATTTTCTCGTTATTTGTTGTCGCATTT